TGGACGACAGCGCTGCGCATCTCAAAGAGACGATCGATTCATTGTATCAACATCTTTAGGCAATGGATTCTCGAATGCTGTACAACTGCAACAGCAGCTACAATCAGCTCGCATAACATCTGTAAGTGTCTCTAAGATCGGAAGACGGTTAAGAGAAAAAAAAATTGGAAATTGGTTCAAAATTGACCGCACAGCATCGCAGAGTACGATTGCAATTTGCAAGCGATCGTATTGATTAGACGATCAACCAATGGGGGACTGTACTTTATTCGGATGAGACGAGAGTATGTCTTTTTTGCAATTATAAACGCAGAAGAGTATACAGAAGGCAAAAGGGACGATTTGCACAAGCCCGTATTGAAGAAACTTTTAGATTCAAGGGTGGCTGATGAATGTTTCGGGGTGTCATGTCAGTTGACGTCAAAACCAGCCTTGTTTGCGTTTCCTGGAGTGGAGATGCTCATGTTCAAGGGTCGCTGACTGCTCATCGGTATGAAATGAAGGTTTCAGAAGAGCATTTGTGTTTGTAATTATTTAATTAATGTATTTACATTAATGCATGACAACACCCGCTGCCACACTGCATTCATTATACATGAGATCGGGATCTCTGTTATGCAGTGGCAGGTGCAATCCACATAGTGGACATGAACCCGATAGAGCAACTCCAGGATGATGTAAAGCAGTAAGTACGGCCTCATGACCCCACCCCAACTACATTGCAAGAACTCGAGAAGTCTGTCATTGAGGAATGGGACATCATTCTTTAAGAACGCGTTGTTACATTGATTAGATCCATTAAAGACCGTTTGGAAGCTGTAATTAAGGCAAGGAGTCGTAATACTAGGTTTTAGGCTGGTTCAAAACATGTTTTTATTTAATTATTTGTGAGTTGCAATAGGCTATAAATTTCTTCTTCTTGACATTAACTTTTTTAAAAAACACATGACAACCATTGTTTCTAAGGAGAAAATTTAATTACCTTTTCAATGATATAACACAGTGTTCCGCAAACTTTTTGTGTTCAAGGTACACCTAAGAAAACGAAAAAAAATTGAGGTACACCAGAAATTAAAAAAACAGTTTTTAAGTAGTATTAATCAACTTTTATTATTAATCAACAAACCTAAACTTTAAAGTTCGGAAAAGGTATTTAATGCCAAACATGAGACTGTTTAATTGAGCATAGACGGTCTAAATTTGGAGTAATCGCTGACAAGGCTACTCTCATTTCTTTCTTTGGTTTTATTGTGGTAAGAGTCTAAAATCCTAATTCACTCAAATAGGTCTTTCTAAGTATGCTATTGCAAAACTATTGCAATAGCATGCTTAGAAAGCAGAGCTTAGAAAGCATTTCTCACACCTAGCCAAAAATGTTCTAAATCAGTTTCAGAAAATTTTTAATTTTAATGTGCGATCCGTTTTCATTTCCATCAGGTATTCCTGCTCATTCAGTGGTAATTTGCCGAAAGGAATGTTCTCGGAGAATGGATTTCGAACCCAGTCCATTGGTTGCAGATCACGCTTAGGGAAATAGAAATTCATTTTTTCTGCTTTAAGAGTTTGACAATCAAAGCCTGCACCCTTTTTCCGGGATCAGCTGCCATGACATTTGGGAACATTTCATTACTTACCATTCGTAGCGAAACTGATCCATACTTTCAATTTTATCCGACAATGTCAAAATATTGGAATATCTGCCTTGCATTTTTTATTGAGCTCATTTAAGTGAGCAAATATATCTGTCAGATATGCAAGTTTTGCTAGCCATTCTTCTTTTTTTAAATAAATGTGCATAATCTGAACCCTGGGAATGCAAAAACATCTCAGTCTCATTTTTCAACTCATAAATTCGGTAAAGTACTTTGCCGCAATAAAGCCATCGTACCTCTGTATGAAACAAAAGCGACTGATGATCTGCCCCCCCCCCCCCACTTGACACAGTGCATTAAAAAGACGAGAGTTCAGCGGTCGCGACTTTATGTGATTTGTGTGATTCGCGCAATAGATCGTCAGGTAGAGACTTCGTTATAAGAGCTTCCCTATGTAAAAAACAATATTAGGGTAGGTAGGTTATTATATACAAACAACATTAGGGTTTTTTTCAGCAACCTTAGCTATAAAGCCTTTAACCTTTCCTGTCATAGCAACTGCGTCGTCTGAGCAAACACTTATACAGTTATGCCATTCTAAATTATGCTCATTGAAAAATTTGTCCGTTACTTTAAATATTTCTTCACCAGTTGTATGGTTAGGCAATGGCAGACAAAATAAAAAGTCCTCTTTTAATTCACATCCATCAAGGTATCTAACATTTGAGATGAGATGCGCGAGGCCACTGATGTCAGTGGACTCATCAACTTCTAGCGCAAAAACTCCACTAACTCTCAATTTTTCAATCAACCTCGATTTAATGTCATTGATTTGACGTGAAATCATTTCTGCCGATGCAGGTATTTTTTCAATTTCTTTAGCAGCTTCTTGGCTAATCATTATCTTGACAAATTCTATGCGGACAGGTTAAACTACAGTTTCGGCTTTTTAGCTTTAACTAACATATTAGCGATTACATAGCTTGCTTTTTGTGCTTTGTCTGAGGTTTTGAAAGACGAACTCATGAGATTTACCTGCTTCTTCGATTGGTTCTTCAAACGTTAAATATACGTTTTGTCTTTTTGGGCTACTGATGGGTGTTTAGTAGTTAAATGTTGTATTAGTTTACTAGGCATCATCGAAATATTACCCAATGTTTCTCCGCAAACAATACACTTTTGGGGTAGGACAAGATTCGTCTCCGCAATATGTAAAACCGTAATTTATGTAGCTTTCGTCATATTTTCGATGAACAATTTTGGGTTTCTTTTTCATTGACTCTTTTTCTTCTTCATTACTTTCACCTGACAAACTTACACTACGTTTAATGAATTTATCCATTATTTTAATACTTATTTTACGCTTAGAATAATAAGCATAACAATACGCGACGAAACAAAAGCGTGCGGTGAATTTAAACGGCGCACTCGTACTCATACTGACAGACTGGTGAGCCAGAGAGTTCGGGTAGCGTTCAGGCGGAGAGCCTCCGTCCCCGCCTCCCGCGACGCACCGGCCGCCGCCGCCCGCGCATAACGAAACCACAGAATTAGATGAACGAAACAAAACGCCTCGCTCGTGCGCTCGCGTGATTTGTGTAGGTATTTTAATTCCCCTACTTACTTACCAAAAATAATTTTATAAGATAACCTTATTTTTCCACGGCACACCAACTAATGATCACGGTAGCCCGTGTGCCGCGGTACACACTTCGCGGAACACTGATATAACATACTCATAGACCTACCATTATTTAAATGGATTTAAAATTTGTTTGAAGTAGAAATTTAAACAGGTGCGATTTTTGCAACGCCGAGTTTATAAAGAGTCGTTCTTAAACTTCAATACCTTAGACCAGGGGTGGTGAATCTTTATGTATCAACGTGCCATTTTCCTAAAGAAATGTTTAATTAGGTAATAGTCGTGCCGTAAAATAATTTTGACTTCGTGGTTATTTATCGACTCATAACTCCTTATTTACTACAAAAAATTAATAAAGAGGTTTGAATTTAGAAATTATATATATATATATATATATATATATATATATATATATATATATATATATATATATAAATGTGTCTGTTATACGCGTAATTCAAATTAAACATTAGTGTGACTTCTGTTGTTGCAGATTAGATGACAAATAACTTATATTAGAGTTGTTAAATCATAAATATAACACAAATTAACTTTTAAATACAATTGTTTCAACGAAATTAACTATTATGCTATGGGTAAACGAATTATGCATTCCTTGGGGGAGGTGTGGACTTGTAAAGGGCTGCTAATGATGGTGATAATGAAACTAACTATGTGTCATTAGGAATAGTAGTACACGATGTAACTAGAATCACTCGCTTTTGTGCGTAATATAATACTTTATAGTGAAATTTCTGATTGGTGGCGTCCCAAATATTGTGTCTCTGGCCATTGTCATTGATGGCACGCGTGCCATTGGTTCGCCATCCCTGCCTTAGACCATTCTTCAATACCGTGATTTATGCGTCGTTATGTATTACGCTTGTGGTGTGACGACAGCGCCGCCACATATTTTTTTAATTATAAATGGGTCAACTTTAACAAACATTTTAAGTAATAGTAAACTATTTGATTTACCCCCAATGTTTAGGTTCGTCTTTAAAATGTTTATATTGATTTAGTAAGAATTTCGTTCATGTTACGATATGTTACGAGAATGATAATTCTGCGTGACAAGCAAACATGCAAAGCTATCGATCATTTTACCACATTTTATGATAGCCCGTAAAACAGTAAAGAGATCCCCGAGCTATTGTAGAATTTTTGTTAATCAAAATCTTTAGTGATAATGTCTAAGGAAATTTAATTTTTTTTGTACTTACTATTTATTATGCGACAAAAACAACAAAAGAATACTTTACGGTGGTCACTAAGCATGAAAATTTACACTACGAATTCACTCCACAGTTTATATAGTGTAAATATAAGTTTTTATTAATAACTAATCATACATCTTTTATAGAATTTGTTATTTATTTTTTGACAGTAAACTTGAATAAATTGTGAACGTAAATCATTTAGTCCATATATCTAGTTTATATTTTGACTACATCGCCGCCTATCGCTGTCACTTTGTATCGTTTTTCTAAGCCTATAGTGGTATGTCTTTTATTGGGTTACTCATTTAAAATAATATGCAATACATCTTTGCACAATATTTCCATTTGAATGTGGCAGACAAAGTAGAGTGGAGTGAGGAGAGTGGAACCCCCAATTCTAAGCTGCTAATAGGATAATTTATTATAATAATTAGGACTATTTATTTATATGTTAATATTACACATAAAAATGTAAAGAAACCCATACGATTTAACATTTATAACATTTAATTTCTTATATTAAGATTATTTATTTATCTTTTTCAGGGGGCCATACAAAAACTAGTTATTTACCCGAACTCAGATAAAGAAAAATTGAATACTTTATGCAGAGACGTAAGTTTATTGGGTATATTTGTCTTAAAATGAAATATACTTGAATATTTGAAATTAAATATTATTTTTACAGGTTTTTATTCTTGGTATTGTGATATACTAGCGCAATTTTTACTGTAAATTTTTAGTTAAATTTTAACTTGTGCAATCATATATAATGAATTATCTATAACATTTAAAATTGATATCTCAATTTTCAAAATTTAATTTCAGGATATTTTTATACCTGACAGTGTAAGTTTTTTTAACACATTTACAGCTCTTCTAAACTGCAATATAAGCTATATATATATATATATATGGCTAAGTCTCTAATCACTGTATTAAAACAAGTTATTTCTATATATAAGTAGTATATTTTGTAAATTATCTATAAAATAATACTGCACAGCGTAGATCACCATATTTTGATAACAATCGAAAATAAACATTAAAAAGTCAAAAACTTTTTTTTTTGATTTTGTATTGTAATGTTTATTTGTGGTTCGAATCTCGCATGGAACTAGGAACAAGTATTTGTATAGACTACAAATAATTGCTTCGGTTCTGGATGTTTTTCCTTGTGAAATTTATGCTTGTAAACTCGTCCACGAAACAGAAGGAAATCCTAGTGTGGGGCTAACGTTTTTTTAACAAAAAAATAAATCTCACTGACTTAAAAGGTTCCATTAAAGTGATTAAATAAAGTTTAATGACTCTATAGACGTTAGATTAGTAGCAGCAGTTTATTTTCGATTGTGTGAAAGTATTTCTTATGCACTTATAATTAACAATTCTTTAATGTTTTTTCCGTAGATTGATGGTTACTCGGAATCTGAGGATGTTCATGTATGTACATGGAACTCCTTTTTTGGTTTTATATATTTGAACTTTTTAGCTGATAAAAAATTACTTAAAGTTACATTTATTTATTAAATTAGAATAAAAAATTAAAAGAGTAAGAAATAATAACACATTCTTGTCATAGCTATGCTTTTGTAGTTTTCGTTTAGTTTCGGCTATTCGTGTTTATATTTCTGCTTTAATTTTACTCTATTTATTATTAACAGATTATAATATAACAAAAAAGGCGCTTTACTTTACTTGAATTGATGAGTTTTTGGTATAATTTATTACTTTAATTACAACATAAATTTTATTCATATTGCAGCTTAAAGGTGACTTGACATCACCACCAGGTAAGTTTTTGCATACTTTTATTTGCATTAATTTTCTCTATTTTATATTTTATTACACGATCTAAAATGTACCAAATAATGATAATAATATTTTGCAGAGTATTTCCTAAATAGTGAAACAGTTGAAAAGGGTGAAAAAGGTGACAGAGGTGAAAAAGGTGACACTGGTGCGCAAGGTAAAAGTGGGATAGCAGGTGAACCAGGGAAGAAAGGTGACAAAGGTGACAAGGTTAGTGAGTTTTCGGTAATATATATAAAAAAATCATTGTTTCATTTCGGTTATCTTTATATATAATGTCAAATAATGTTTTTATTACGTTAGAATATAATATATAGTATCCATGAATACAGAAATATAAGACTCTTATCAATTTATAGGGAGAAAAAGGGGACTCCATCAAAGGACCGCAAGGAGCTCAGGGTCCAATAGGACCACAAGGTCCAATTGGTTTACCTGGCCGTAAAGGAGAGGAAGGAGTAAGAATGTTAATTGTTTTATTTATTAAAGAAGTCTTCATATCTATGCTTTATTTGGTACTTAGACGATACATGTAATAAAATAATAAGTAAATTAGCTTTGAATGCTTTTCATATAATATTTAAAAATTTAAAATAAAAAAGTAGTTCAACTTTATATATAATATGTGACGTTGGCAATGATATTAAATTTATTTCAAATTTTTATTACTTTTAACAAAGGTTTAACGGTAGGCAGACCCAAATACAAATTATTATTTGTATTTTTTTAAGAAAACTGATTTAACATGCAGTGTTCTGTTACAGATGTGCCGATGTTCGGAATCTGTGATATCAAGTGTAATCAAAAACATGCCGGAAACGAAGGGACCACAAGGTGAACCCGGACCTAGAGGAGCAGATGGTGACATCGGCATTCCAGGAAAGACAGTACGTAGATGCTTCATCTTTATCATTACAGCCGTTTACAATTTCACTGCTGCTTCCTTTTTTTGGGAGAGGAGGCTAACGGGCATACGGCTCACCTGATGGTAAGTGATTACGCTGCCCTTGCAGAACTGCAACACCAGAGGAAACGCAGATGCGTTGCCGGCCTTTTGAAAAGGAATGGGCTCTTTTCTTGAAGATTCCTTTCCCAAGAAATGACACAAAGCAAGATCCTAAGCCACCTGTATCCATTGATTAACCACCGTGCTTTTTGGCTTATGTTCAGCACTGGAATCGTAAAGTCTGTAATGAATGAATGAATAAAATTACGTTTCATTATTTATTAAAATAAAAAGCTAAAAATAAGATAAAAGTAACCAGAAGTATACAAAAATAATAAAACAGGGATTACCTGGAATGCAAGGCGAGAGAGGTCCAATGGGCCTTAAAGGAGATAAAGGTGAACGAGGAGAAGATGGACGTTCAGGACGTGACGGTGCACCAGGGTCCAAAGGAGAGCCAGGTACAGATGGTGCTCCTGGACCGGCCGGACCACGAGGTGAAACAGGATTACCTGGTCCACCAGGACTAGCATGTGAGGTGGGTATAATATGGAACTAATTCTAACTTAACATATTTTAAATAAAACGAATAACACGTGATCAGTGATCACTATCAAAATATATAAAGGGTAAAAGAAGGTGGAAAATATAAATGAGTTATTTTCAAAGAGTAACCAAATTTAAAACTTGAGTTGAAACTTATAAATAATGATTTTATTATTGCAGTTTTTGAAAATACCAGTAAATAAGGCTTCTACTTTTATTTAAAATTATCCCGAATTGAATGTGATTTATGGGCAATAATGTTTTTGTCTGCTGATCGACCCTTACAAATATGTAAAGTTTTCATAATATTAATAAAGTACTCAAGACTGAATTCAGGACTCGTAACAAATGCATAGGTGCACTCTCTATTCTTTTACAATGTTCAATGAGACGACAATTCGAGAAGAGAGATAGGCGTGGGGCTAATAGCTTTACACGCTTTGCTAAACACGTGGTTGAACACCGTCAACTTCGGGCAGCTGCCCGAATTGGGGTTTTCCGACAGAAAAATAACTGAATTTACACTTAACCTGGGGTTCGAACGAACCACCTTATTAGCAGTCGCGTTTAAGACCACTAGACTAACGGGAAAATTACAAATTAGACCTGTGCAAACTAGTAATACTAATAATTAAGAAATTGTTCTTACACATGGTAGAGCCACGCTGCAACTATATTATGGTTGGCACGAATGAACCGGTTCAACCGAGGAGGGACTACGCTCTCATATAATACCTACGTAAAATAGCAGCTTAATACCGCTGTCTTTCGTATGACTGTAGGGGACTCTTTTTACTGGAAACGAGGCATTCGTTCGTAGTCGTCAGGAGTGAAAACGCATCTGCATTTTGATTCTTCATCGAAGATAAACGTAAATTTTTATGGTCCACAGCATTCACTTACCATCAGGTAGACTGTGTGCTCGTTTATTATCCCATTAAATAAAAAAATTGTCAGTTGTGGTCTGGAAGTGATGTGGATATCTCAGTGTCACTTTTACAACATCTAAGTCTACAATCAATCGATTCTTCTTCGAATCGTTCAATCGATTTACAAAAGCATTACGGATAAGTTTGAAAAAGTAAATTCCTCTGCCCTTCTTCTGTTTTGGGTTCGGAAATATTTGCTCTTTGGCTGGCGAATCTTTATGTCTCGTATCTTTGATCTAAATAGAACAAATATTAATTAATGATCGGCACTAATTGAAAAAGGTTAAAGGAATTTTACTTCTTTAAAATAATATTCTGCGTAAATAATAGACAATTCCTTGGCAGCACTCTCTAAGCCTGCCCCGATCATGACATAAGACAGCAGTCCATGTGATAGTAAGTGGCTATTGCGAGGCAAGGCTACCTGTTGCCAACTTCAAGCGAATAGGGCTATATATGCGTTGTCAACTTTTAGGACTACGATGAAATGCCTCATAACCTGTAATTATAATAGCTTTGGACACGATTCAGACCGGAACATAAAAGTGAAAGCACGAATTCTGTCGTCAGCAAAAGGTAAGCGGGTGTTTCATTATCAAGAAGGATTCGAAAGCAGTCCTAACATCTAGAAAACAGAAAGACTAAAATAGTCCTACAAATTATAGCTCTTCGGAAAACACCTTATTAGGGAATAATTACCCCAGTGCAGAAATAGAATCGTTAGTTGTGCGCGTTGTTCTCCCGATCTGCTAAAACTACAAATAATTGTAGTGCTAACATCTATATATTTCGATATAGCTCAATAAAGTTACCGTCGTGATACTGCTGCCTTGGTCGCACTTTACTGCAGTTTTAGATTTAGTCGGTTCAGTAACGCAATTTGTTAAAATAGCGAATCAAACAATTACTTTAAAAATATGAAGTGGGCATTGGTGTAACATTATTGGATGAACCTTTACCAGGGAATTCGTTTATATTTTGGCCTCGTGGCTGAAGAAATAAAGGCGTGGAGGCGATGTTTAAATTGATAAAATTTAGTCTGAGCGTGCAGAAACTGAAAACTTCAAAAGAAGGCCACACGTTTCGAAAGAGATCTCAACATACTTTGATACACGTACCATTAGATGATCGCAATAAGACATACGCTTTCTCTTGTTGTTTTATCTAAGTGCTCAGAAGAATGGAAATGTTTTTTGAATTTATGTATGTTTCTTTGTCCAGTTCTTTACCACGCACATTAGTATAAACGGCTTAACGTACTTTAACACATGAGGTGTCGTTAAATTATTATTTATTTATTTAAACTTTATTCGCACATAAAGAAATGTACGTTGCCTAAAGGCATTCTCTACCATTCTTTGTTGTGCAGAATCTGTGATGGGTGCAAACTTTAAAAAAAAATAAAGGTTTAAGGAAAAATAAAATTTTTGTTTATTACATTTTTTAGTATTTTTTCCTTTTTTTGATTTCTGAGTGTAATGTCTTAGTTATGGGAGTGACTCTTCTCAAAAAGGTTAACTGGTTTGTTTACGCACTTTATTTTTTCTTTAAATTGTGTTAGACTTATTAGACATTCCGTATTTAACAGAATACTACACATTAATTAAAACAAGTTTTATAACCAAGAAGACGCTTGATTTATACTGTTGCCGAATACTGTTAAGAGTCCTACGGTTATTATATTACAATATTCAACGTTTTTTTTTTTGAAAAATTGTCATAGGCCTCCCTTATAGACTATAAATGAAAAAACTAGGCTACTTTTGCTAACTGATTCTTTGGATTATGATTCTTACTCTGATTATACTGACACTATTCTCTCTACTGATCTATCACGTAGAAACACAGCGAGAATAGCCCATATAGCATAGCATTGTTCATAGCAGATTATATAAATTTGCAATATTAATCATTATTTATAAATATAATACTCAATAGGTTTTATAAATTTATATTTCAAAAATAGGTATCTATAATTTTAATTTGCAGCGAGAAGAAGAATCAGAAAAGGTGCCAGTAGTAGGTGAAAAGGGCGATGTTGGACCGATTGGCCCACCAGGACCACCAGGATTGCGAGGTGAAAAAGGGGAAAAGGGTGAAATAGGAGATCGTGGATTAACAGGAGAAAAAGGTGAACGGGTACGGTGTGCATTCAGATTAAATGAATCATATTGCTTAAATTTAGGCATTATTACTACTTTCAGACACCAAGTGCGATATTTTTTGATCAGTTTACTAAAACGGTAATAAAATTTTGTTAATTTTATACAATTACACACAATCCTCAATTTTTTAATTCATTATTAACTAACGAAGCAAAGTCGAATGCTAAAACCGACCTTTGGAGAATTCCACAGCATGGTTCTGAACCCAACTGCAGTCATTGACTTCCCGCGTCATTTACAAAACATTCATTTATAGATATCCTTATTATCCAATCAGTCAGTCATCAAATCATGTAAATAAGGATGACTACAATTCTGTTAATGAAATGATCACTAGAAACATGTACTGACTCTTTAAAACGTGTTTTTGTTTTTATACATTTATTATATAAATTTCCCCAAAAATCCTCATTAATTTTCTTTTATTTTCTTCAGGGGTACGACGGTCCACAAGGTCCACGAGGAGAAAAAGGTGAAACAGGAAATCCTGGCTTGAACGGGACACCTGGAGTACCGGGGACTCATGGAAGACCTGCAGAGAAGGGAGAAAAAGGTTAACTTTAAAAACATATTTTAAAACCCCACTCAATTTATCGAAACAATTAATATTACGTAAAATATGAAAATGCTATAACGTAGGTCACTTACACGGAGCACGACCTTTAGCAAACTCTAAATTTATTTCTCCAGCAACTTTAAGTATCAAAATATTATATCCTCCCTCTCTTCATTATTAGCCATTAAACAGTTCGCTGCTGCATATGGACCTCTCCTCAGCATTTTAATTTTATAATATAAATAAGATCAGGTTATGGCTTCTCAAAGTCAATTACTTGAGTTAATCTTTCTCGTATCTATGGAAGCTGTCAACTGTGCGATATATAATAATGTATAGTAACGTTAGTGCTAAAATTTTCAAGAAATGTTAAAAAGCGGTGTAAGTGAAACAGGTTATATACAATACATCAAGTTTCGCAAAATTTTTTATTCTAATTTGTAAAAAATATTGGCTCTTTTGATTATTGCTAACAAGTGGGTAAACACGCCTTTAAGGTATTGTCATCCATTCTCTTTTGATTAAAACAAAATGTGTTCATCGACAGTTACTGTACATTTGGATTTATCCTCATCATCTAAGAAAAAGAACGTTAGTCAAGTCCCCCTCTCAAGTTTAGAGGATCACAAAATATCATATTGTTAACATAATAGTTGCATAAAATAAAATTGGTTTCAGGTGATCCTGGTGAAAAGGGTGAAATAGGTCACCCTGGCATACCAGCAAAACTTTCTTCCATATTAGATGAAGATATGGACGTTAATGAAAGTAATTAAATTTGTGTTTTTTAAATATTTGTTTTATAGCTATTGTGCAAATAATTAAGGTTTAAATGAAGTGGATAAAATCACAAATACTTGGAGTACATAATACTTTCTAAAAGTATTGTGAGAGTTGTATTTAAAATAAACTATAGTATTTGTTACTATAATGAATAATTAAAACGTTTACTTTAACAGTAGCTTTTTACTGGCAACGTGGCATTCTATGTAAGTTCTCAGAGGCGACAACATATCTAAATATTAACTCTTAATTGAAGATAATATGTTGATGTCTTCAACGTTAGAGTGAATAAGGTTTTTGTTAAGTCATTGCGCTTTACCATTTTAGGCTACATCAACAATTTCCATCATGTCGGATTGTAGGTTAGCGATGGCTTAGAATAGTTAAAAAACATAATATCTAATATTCAGGGTTAATATTGTTATTTTTTTATTTAAATGACCAAATGCAATGAATAACTAAGGTAAGGATTTAAATTGCTTACAAAATTTACTACGCTCTTTTCTTAATTTTTCCTCAATTAATCTTACAAAAAAAAAATACGAAGAAATATCCGGAAGTTCAATATTTCTGCTTTTATTGTATTCAAATTTATTGCAGATAATACTCAGGTTTCAATTTTGTCCACAAGAATTATTTTGATTGTTATTGTATTTTAAAATATTGTCATGTATGAGTGCATAAATCTTAAATTTGTTTTCAGACACCATGTTAGTTGAAAAATTAAGGGGATTTAAAGGAGAAGCAGGAAAAACGGGCGAAAAGGTACTTTAAACAGAATCTATTTTTATTGCTGAATACTATACATACATAATATATAGAAAATTTTAATGACAAGTGCATTTATTTTTTATCTCTATTTGATTTAAGGGTGACAAAGGAGACAAGGGAGAAATAGGTCATTCAGGTGCCCCGGGGATAGAGGGTCGGCAAGGAGTTCCAGGTGAAAAGGGTAATCAAGGCGAAAAAGGCAATGTTGGTGCTACGGGACCAAAAGGTTATAAGGGAGATAGGGGTGAAACTGGGCCGTCTGGAACGATATCTCCGTCTACCTTAAACCGTTTGAAGGTTCTTATGGAAATCTGTTAACATTTTGATGTAAAACTTTTAAAACAGCCGCCCATAGAACTGGTTTTTATACTTTTAGGGTCCTAAAGGTGACCGAGGGCCAACAGGAAAGAGTGGACCTCGCGGACCACCTGGATATAATGGAAAAATAGGTCCTATTGGTTTACCAGGCCAAAAAGGTGAAAAGGGTGCCAGCGGTGCTCCTGGAGCTCTGGTAACTAATTAATTAGACATGAAAGTAAGGAAATATAAATGAGTTAGTTTTATTCATCTTTTGATTTTTAGGGTCCTGCAGGTCCAGTAGGAGTGACTGGAGCAAAAGGAGAAAAAGGTGAAAAGGGAGACATACCAGAAATAGCCCTGGAAAAGGTACATTAGGTATTAACTATTTTTGAATATTTTTGTTGCAAAACAGGTAACGTACTTGATGTGTATTTAATTATAGTAATTTTTATAAATAAAATCACTTCGTGTTGTTATAACATAAGAATTCAGTTCCAATATCTCACAAAAGTGTTATTTCAAATCTATATCTATTTCGACTGAAGATGAAAGGCGAAAAGGGAGAAAGAGGTGCAGCAGGAGTGCCAGGAGAGCCTGGCAAAATGGGGCCGCCTGGTATATGTGAGACTACTGACAACCGTTTGCCAATACCAGGACCTCCTGGTCCGCCAGGTCCACCTGGTCCGCCAGGTACTTCCGTGACCGGCCCTAAAGGAGAACCTGGAGGAATTATTTCGCAGAAAACATTTTATGCATTCAGTGACAATGCAGGTAATATATGTTGTTTATCGATATTTTATTTGTAATATGATTTTGCCGCATAGTGGCGGTTGAGAATATCCATTACTCCATATCTTTCCGTGGGTGTTGTAAAAGGTGACAGGTGGAAACAGGCAGGAGGTGAGCAGCAGCATCTTCCTGATAACAGAAATTATACAATAAAAAACTGTGGATGCCAATCCGCTTGCTAAGTGTAGCAACTATGGCAAACATCCCCCTATGAGCAACGACACAAACAAAAAGCCCCCAGTCCCCGGCGACCCCGCTATTGCTGGCTACGGTGGCGACCATGGTAATGGCGGGGCAAGGGGTGCTAAGAATCTCCGGTGGAGGTTCGATTGCCACCTACTACGGCTCGACGTGGCAACATACAATGACCCTGAAAACTGACGATAAGATCCAGAAGCCGAAAGAAGATAGATAAACAAGCTGCGCTGGAATATTATAGGATTATACGAGGTCCGAAAAGAGGCGGAGGACACGGTAATTCTCGAATCCTTCAACTTGTTCTATCACCGGAAGGGCGACCATCTGTCCCAAAGAAGTGTCGGATTTATCGTCCACAAGTCTCTCGTTAACAACGTAGTAAAGATTGGGAGTGTGTCAACGAGGGTTGCATCTCGCCAAACGATATTCGCTTAAGGTCATACAGGTTACGTAAGCACCACCTTTTCATCGGCACACCCCGATGAAAAGGTGGAGAAAATGTATGAGGATATCTCTAGAGTCATGCATTCCTCCAAACCCACTATACGGTGTTAATGGGAGATTTAAACGCAAAACTAGGCACAAGAGAAAGCGGTGAGCTAAAGGTAGGAAAATTTGGAATAGAGCAATGGAATACAAGGAGCCAGCAGCTGGCTGACTTCATGGAGAAAGAAAGCCTCTTTATGATGAACTCTTTCTTCCAGAAGCGGCCTCACAGTAAGTGGATCTGGTCGAGCCCCAACGGCTCGATAAGAAATGAGATTGATTTCCTTATAACGACCAGACGCCAACTGTTCAGCGATGTCTCAGTGATCGCGAAGGTGAAAATTGGCAGCGATCACCGAATAGTTAGAGGCACATTGAACCTAAAAGTTAAGTTGGAGAGGTCTCGTCTAATGAAATCAACGCTCCGTCCCTCTCGTGCACTGATCCAGGGTCCCGAAAACTTTCAGATAGAATTACAAAACCGTTTTCAGTGCCTAGAAAGTTGCAATATACTAGACGATATGAATGACAAGCTCGTGGAAACTGTCCATGCGGTCGGAGCTAAGTTCTGCAAGACCCGCTGCAGAAGAACACAAAAACACAAACACACACTCTTAATCTCATTGCTGTTATACGGGAAACGAAGCTGCAGTCTTCATCAGATTTGACATTATACAGGTAACTGCATAAACATATCTCCAAATATATGCGGCGGGACTTACGCAACTTCAATACAACTCGTACTTAAGAAGCGATTGAGCGGAACCAGGGCTTCAAATTCTTTGCCAAAAATCTGTCTCCCAAAAAGAGCCAAACTGTTTAAGCTGAAGACCGAGTGTGGCAGCATCGTTTACGGGACACATGAGATTTTGTGAGATTGAGAGGTTCCATGGGGAGCTGTACACGTCATCGTTGAAGCCACACGCAAGTGTAAGTAACGATCCAAGAGCAAGTTTTATCCGACACTATTCCGATGATACTCCGGAAATCAGTCTCAGCGAGATTAGAGTGGCTCTCCAGCACCATAAAAACGGCAGGTCCCTGGAGAGGATAAAATTATAGTGGAGCTTCTGAAAGCCCGTGGAAAACCAGTACTAGAACTCTTTCAGAAGCTCTTTAATTCCATCCTCTATGATGGCACTACTCCCGAGGCGTGGAGCAAAAGTGAGGTGGTGTTGTTCTTCAGGAAGAGTGACAACGCTCTCTAGAAAAACTACAGACCTATATCCCTTCTGAGCTGCGTCTACTTGCAGTTTTTGAGAGACATAAAGAATCGTCTCTCACGCAGTTTTGACGACTTCCAGCCTCCCGAACAAGCCAGTTTCCGAAAAGGACCATTTAGCACCATAGACCACAAACATAGCCTTCGGCAATTTTTTTTTATAGAAGAGGGGGCAAACGAGCATGCGGCTCACCTGATGTTAAGAGACTATCGCCGCCCATGATCAACCGCAACACCAAGGGAATTGCAGGTGCGTTTCCGGCCCTTTAGAAAGGAGTAAGCTCTTTTCTTGAAGGTCGCCAGGTCGTATCGGTCCGGAAAAATCGCTGGTGTTAAACTATTCCACAGAGAGGTTGTACGCGGAAGAAAATTCCTTTTGAAACGTAAAGTGGTGGGCCGCCAAGCATCCAGATGGTGTGGATGGTATCAGAATGTTTGCCGAACGCACTGTTCACGAAATTTGGAGGCTGGGATTAATCCGAACAATTCCTCAGAGCACTATGGTATATGCGAAAGAAAATGCAAAAAGATGCAACATCTCTTCGCAGTGCCAGTGACTCGAGCTGATCGGAAAGCACTCGGTCGTCGACGATTCGAGCCGCTCTGCGCTGGATGCGGTCAAGTGGAAGAAGCTGGTACTGGGAAGCCCCAGCCCAGAGATGGGAACAACCCACCACCTCCCATGGCCCCACCGACCCTCAGGTCATACGGGCCTAATCTCGGGAGATGCGCGCGGTACTTGCACCTTGCTCTTTCCCGCGCGCACTTTCTTGACTCCCTACAAATATTTATTCTGTTCCTTGTCCCAGTTTAACGTCATTCTCCCCCTTCTGGGGCTGACGGCACAATAACGCCTACGTCGTCGGGCCTTCCTACCAGCATCCTTTCCTGCCTTCTCCTGCGATCGTGCCACCTATGCGTAAACTCACGCAACAGCCCGTAGTTCACCCCATCGCTGACGAGATCCGAGTAGTAAAGCGGTGCCTGAACCGTTCGAACCAGGCCATCCAACACTTTCGCTCTTAGATCGTCATACAGAGGACATTCCCATAGGACATGGTGAACATCCTCCTCTGCCGTACCACACTCGCACATACTGGTTTCACACAGTCGCATGTCATGCAGTCTCTTCCGAAAACATCCATGTCCAGTGAGAATCTGGGATGTTTGATAGTCCGGTGAGACCCAGGTATACCTGAGTCTCAACGCCACCTCCGGGAAAAATCGATTTAACTCACGTCCTTTCGTTTCGTTTTTCCATCGATTCTGCCATACGCCAATCACCTCAGTCCAGATATCGCGCTTTCGTCTGCTCAACTCCTCTCTGGGCGCGGTCAAGCGTTCAAAACCCATCCTACCAGCACGAATGACCTCCAGGTCAGCAGGGAGAACGCCAGCCAGCACCGGTAAGGCCGCCGTGCTAGTGGACCGGTACGCCTTGGTCAACAAGACAAGTGCAGATCGTTGCGATTTCAGTAGTACGCTACGGACTGTGTACATGTTCGCCCGCTCGTACCAGCACTCTGCTGCATACGTGAGCGTGGACACAAACACTCCTCTGTAAATAAATTTTAAACTTGGGTATCACATACCCCATGACGATGTCGATACGCGAGTCATTTTGCCAAATCCCTTAGTCGCTCTTTCAGAGATATCAGAAGCGTGTTGCACAAATGATAATCCTGAGTCCAAAACCACGCCTAGTACCTTAGCGGTAGTCACTGACTTGATTAATTCCCCATCAAGTTTAATAACGGGGGGCGCTGAAGTTTCCCTCTGACAGTCATGGTGGTAGACTTTGAGGAGGAGAACTTCAGTTGATTCCTCAGCCCCCATTCCCGTACAAGGTCCAGAGTGACCCGGGCCCTGGATTCAATACCTGCTCTCGTTTCCGATTCAACCAAGATTGTGACATCATCGGCATAGGCAGTCATGGCAACTCCCTCAGGCAGAGGGAGTCGAAGTAAATCGTCCATCAGCACGTTCCACAGTGTTGGGCCCAGCACGGAGCCTTGAGGACATCTCATGGTCGAGGTGTTCCACTCTACCCGGTCCCCGATGTAGAGGCCCACACGCCTGGAGGTGAAGTAGTCCACCAACATTTTATAAATGTTAGGTGGACATCCACCCCTCTTAGCTTTGACCAGAGATGGGAACAGTATTCCATGTGCGGCCGAAACTGCGCCGTATAAAGTTGCAGGTGGTGTGCCGACATGAAATACTGTCCCGCTCTGCTGAGCACGCCAAGCTTTTTAGAGGCCAATTTGGCCTTCTCTTCCAAGTGACCACGAAACTGGACGTCACTCGATATGTCGAAGCCGAGAATTCCGTTACTGGCCGAGGCAACAAGGGGAGTGCCTTGAAACTGAGGAGATACGACAAAGGGGTTCTTTTTAACGGTTTAACGCGCAAACTTGTGTCTTCTGGGGGTTAAACTGGACTAGATTCAGTCGCCCCCAATCTGAGACTCTGTTTAGCAAAGACTTCGATTTCAGACACAAGTTTGTCCCGGCACTCGGAGACGTTTTCCCGAGAAATATTTGTTCGGCTGGTGTAAAGAGCATCACCAGTGCTGTCATCTGCACAGCAATGAATGTTACGGGTTTGCAACATATCATTGATATGCAGAAGAAACAGCGTTGGAGATAGCATGCAGCCTTGTGGAAAACCAGCATTAATAGGCTTGCAATCGGAGCTTGCACCGTCTACAACGACCTTGATGCTCCGATCTGCAAGAAAGCTGGTGATCCAATCGTACAAGTTGGACGGGACTGAGTGGTCGTCTTTTTTAGGGATTGGGTAGACGAAAGCCGTCTTCCATGATTTTGGGACTACGCCTAAGGAGTAGGAGTACCGGAAAAGACGCGTTGAAACCGGTTCCAATTCTGGAGCACACGTCCTCAGCACAATTGCGGGGATTCCATCAGGCCCACTCGACTTGTGGATTTTCAGGGAGAGGAGTGCTTTGCGAACCAAGCGCTGTGTGAACTGCACTTCCGGCATATTCCGGCACCTTGGGATGGTCGGCGGCGTACTCCCTCCTTCATCGAGAGTCGAGTTGAATGCATAGAAAGAGCCTTGAAGATCGTATTTCTCCTTTGCGGTATGGGCCAGTGAGCCGTCCTCCCTATGCAGAGATGGAAGAGATGACTGACAGAAATTCCCCTGGACAGCCTTGACGAGAGACAAGAATGCACGGGTTCCAGAAGGAAGGCGAACTAGTTCCTCGCCAATTCTGCCTATGTGCTCTGACTTTGCCTTTGCAATGACTCTTTTGAAGGACCTAGAGGCGGAATTATACTTCTTTTTTAGAGCGCTGGTGTTTACATCCCGGATAGCTGATGCGTCAGCCCAGGCTTGGTAGCACTCCTGCTTATAGCATGATGCTATTTTACAGGAGCGACCAAACCATGGCTGAGATTTGCCTCCAATGGGCACCACAGAGGAAGGAATAAAAAGTTCCATACCCTGAAGTACCACATCAGCGACAGAATCCGTTGAGACTGAGACAGAAACGTTGGGATCGTCTGGCGAGAAGCAAACCCTCCCCCAAGGGTAGGATGTAAAGAAAGACCGCATTCCATCCCAATCGGCTGACCTATAGTGCCAAATACGGCGGCAGCCTGCAGAATGCAATTGCGATTTCAGCGTGAGGAGGCACCACACTCCGGACAAGACAATGGTCCGAGGAGCCTAAAGGGGCGTCGACGGAAATCTGATATCCGTCCGGGTGAGAGGTCAGCAGAAGGTCCAACAGGGAAGGAGCACGATCCTCCACATCTGGAATCCGCGTAGGCGAAGTAACCAGTTGTGTCAGACCATATGCCAAGGCAAAATCATGAACAGATCTCCCCGCATGATCGGTTAAACGTGAACCAAGCCATTCGGCGTGATGGGCGTTAAAGTCGCCGAGGATCACGATCTCTGCGGAGGAGATCTGCTGTAGCAACGAATCTGTAGCCATTTGGACGTGGTCGAAGAGTCGGTCTGTTTCGGCATTACCGCTATGGAACCTATAGAGGCACCCGTAGACGCGCGGATGGTCGTCGCTGTCTACGCGTAGCCAAAGGCTGGAAAGGTCCGAAACTTCAAGTCTGCCGAGGCGTCGAGAACAGACGTCCTCTCTGACGTAAACGCAAACTCCAGTCCGAGACACAAAGGAGTGCTCCAGTTTGTACCGGGTAGGTCGAGACTCAGGGAGGCACCTGCGTCTCGGTCAGAAAGAGCAGAGCCGGCCTCGTCGTCTCGAGATGGTAGTGGACGGCGTTTAGGTTAGAGTGAAGTCCCTTGATATTGCAGAAATTCACGGACAGCGTGGCAGGGGTCGCCTTGGTCTTGTTGCTCCATTTGTCCCGAGCAGTTGTAGTACTGAGCGGAATTTTGCCCCCCCCCCCCAGAATACGTGGGGCAGTCTGAGCACCCACGCTCAGAAGTGGAGAAACATGGTCGTGGATGCTCAGCAATGGATTCTCCAGGGGTGCTGGTATCCTCCTAGGGTGGTCTATCATCATTTAATTCCGCTACCATGTTGATGGGGGGGGGGGGGGGGATTTGGGCCTTTTGGGAAATTGTACAGAAGACATAAAAGTACATTCTGCCACCTTACCTGGCGTATGCGGACTATGAGAAAGCCCTTCATTCCGACGAACCGTTCCGACTGGCACGTGAGAGGTCTGAAGTTCACAGTGTTCGCCTCTGTCAATAATGTTATGAGTGTAACCTTGAGGCTCATCAAAAGAGCCTCCGGCTTTTTTTTTTTTTTTTCTTTTTTTTTATTTTTATTGGTGACTTTAAGTTATGGTTGACAAAGTTATAATAGTTGTACATAAAATATACACTCTGTGAGCTTAAAGGTCCTGCCGGAAATATTTCGGTCCGGTATCAAGAAGGGAGCTTATCATTTTCTTGCATAATAATTGAGCTTTCCAATTCATGGATATAATGCCACCAGCATTTATCTTCTTCCTCTTCACTAATAGTCTACTGCTGTATTTTGTGACGCATGATTGTTACATTTTATGAAAGCATAAATGTATTCGCCCTGCTTAGTAAGCGGATCTAGCCATGAATCAGAGCATATTATGAAATATTTGTGACACGTGCTTTAGAAAAGAGTTTGATTACTACTACTAAGAATTTAATGACTATTTCTGACACCTAACTTACTGTATTAACAAAGAAATAAATTATTTTTAATTTTCTTTAAATTTTGTTGAAGTACAAAATAAAAGAGAGTAAAAATGAATAATAAACTTTTTTCAATAAATTATTATTAATTGAATAAACTAAAATTCAACTAAAATAACAATCGAATTTGATTATGAATTAACCGTTGTTTTGAGAATATGTTATTTTAGAACATAAGTGATTTATTTAGTAACATGTTTGCGTGTTAAAATAAACATATTTTTCACCATATGTTCAATTTCAGTTGATCCAGATGATGAAGACGATTTTTATACCTCAGCGACAATGATTTATAAAACTTCAACAGCCCTTATCAAGGTATATCTTACGAAGAAAATTAAATTTAAATTCTATTTAACTCAATACACACATATATTATTTTATCGTAGACCGTATTACCCAACAGACTAATTTTGACCGTTACGGATTATTTCAGTGAGCCTGAAGTCCTCATATATTCAAAATATTTTTCATGGATTTCTTTAATTGGTAAATGTACAGCAGTCTATCTGATGATTTTGGCCTGGTATATATTTGAATCAGTAAAGTAATTAAAATAAAAATCGGTGACAAGACTAACATATTATTTTCTTCATATCTTTTATATCTCATATCTTTTTAGTTTATATATTTTTGACAAATACCAGTAGGGGAATTCTGTGGGTGTCAAAAGAGGCGACAGAGGGAATTAAAAAATTATATTAAAGCGACTTCCTAATAACGACTAAAAATAAATAATTCTTTTGCGCTGCCACCATGCTGCGATAAATAATTACCAAAAATATTTAAAAATAGCAAAGAGACCACTATTTTATAATTATTTATAAAAAGTAAAGTGACTTGTATTCAGCCATTATTTCACTTATGAATTGTATTGTAATTGTTTTATTTTGTTGCAGAGAACAAGTTCGACCCCTTTGGGGACTTTGGCCTATGTTTTACAAGAAAAGTTACTCCTTTTAAGAGTTGAGCGAGGCTGGCAGTATGTGATGGTATGTTTGATATATTTATACGTTTTTTTCAACTGTACATGTGCTACCTTTTCCAGTTTGGATGAATACAAGTTCATAAGAAATTAATCGATTAATAATTAAAGAATGTACTTGGACATGTACTACTCTTCTTTATTTTCGTGAATTTCTGATAAAGTAATGTCAAAAAAATTACATACATGTGTATGTAATTTTTTGCTACATACGAGCTAATTTGTTTTGGTATAGTATTCGCAAAATTAATGCATATAGTAGTTCCTACATGTACATTTATTATTTGTATCTATTTATTATCTGAAGATAATTTAATACATTTGGTAAATGATGACAAATTGATTACGTGAGAAGTGATTAAAAAATTGTAAACGCAGAAGCATAAAAACCGAAGACTATTTAGAAAGTTGCGATGACAATCAATAGAACTTAAGCTATTTTAGAAATTAATAAATACAAAAATTACTCATCAAGATCGTCGGATTTCGATAGAAATTATTTGCATTTCGTTCGAAAGTACTCTGTAGCCACAAAATCGGTCACCTATCATAGAAGATATTGTGCTCCAATTATTGTTCTATTTTGTAACAGTCAAATTGTGATACTACTTATATTTTAACTCGGTTAAAATTTATGATCACTAGTCATGGTTTTGTACTTACTTTTGCTACCTGAATATAACCGAAATCAACTACAAACAAATAAAGATACCGGTGTATCGTCACAGAACTGTAATGGCATTCCTCTAATCCTATAATTATGCTAATTCTTTGTACCCTTCAAGAGAGAAGAGATGCGAAAACCATCGACATAAGATGAGTCCTACTAACTACTAAAGATGAGGAAATTAAGAGTCTACGTGCGACATAAGAATTCATGTTGCGTCTCGAACGAAGAACTCGGCAAATTGCCATTGGCGTAACGGTTACCACCGGTTAAGACGTGTAGTGATTCGGCATAAATTCCTCCATAGCCATCAACACTGAATTTGTGTATAAATTTATTATCAACTCAAATGAACAACAATATATTAACTCACTTCATAAGGCCTTGGATTATTCCAAAAATATTCTGAGATTTCAAACATCGATAATATTTGCAGATGGGTTCCTTATTTGAGGAGAAAGAGCAGAAACCGAAGAATTTTGTGAGTTTTTTATTTCAATTGCTCAAATATTACTTCATGTTTGAATGATAATATTGTTTTTTTATGTTTCCAGGTGGCTAAGCTTTCAGATGGTAGAGAACGGAGACGAAAAAACTTTGTAAGCATTTAGATTCGTCCTCTATTTATTTTTTAAATTTTTATTGTCAGATATATTTTATTATATTTATCAAATCATTTTATATCCTTGTTTATCATCAACATCCGCCAACAATAGTCCTTCCAGGACACAAGTCCTTTCCCATGTGGGGATTACCCTTACAATCGTCGCCTTGCAGACGTCCCACACCTTTGATGCCGCTTCTTGTCACCAGCCTATATATTTTTTGTTTGGAGTAAATGAGATGGTTGTACGCCATCTATTAGTTTGTATCCGTCAGTGGTACTTACGCCCTGGAATAAATCTGTCCTCTTCTAGCCTTGCAAATAGTATTTTACAAATGCCTGTATTTTTCATATACAAATCAATTTTACGAAACATGTACTTCAACTAAAAAAATAACGCACATCGTGAGATGACTCCTTTTATAAGCAAATACTAAGTAAAAGCGGCATTTTTTGAATAATTATAGTTATAATTGCTGTTTTCCCAGAAAAAAAAATATAAAATAGGACTGTTTTATTTATTTTTGTTAAGTAAGGATGACAATAGAGCGCACAGTTTAGCAGATGGTAAGTATAATAATATGCTGATATGGCTCGAGACACCTATCTCCCATTCGGAAAGTATTCGTGCCTATTTGCCTCCTTAATAAATACTGACCAGAAAATCATCATAACTATCATTTTTTTCTTTCAGATTCGGCTAGCTGCTCTCGATGAGCCTTATTCTGGTAAAATGGAGACTGCTACAAACCGTACTGGACGTAAAACAGTAGATCAAGAATGCCACATACAGTCCCAGAAAGCAGGTCTTACTGGCACATTTGCAGCATTTCTAGCAAATAAGTAGGTATTTTAGTAGCTGCACATGTCGTTGGCAAATACAGAAAAAAAAAGATTTTTCGAGTTAAAAATTACAATAGTATCCCAAAATTATGAATAGTTTATGATATTTTACTATGTACCAAGTTAGTCTAGGTCATATAATTATGTGAGATTTTAAACTATAAAGAGTGTGCCGACTATGTTATTTCATTACTGTATTTTCTTATTTTCTGTGGGCACGGCAGTGCCAAGTCAAGTCGAGAAAAAACGCGGCACGGCCGTACCATACTTTGCTCGCGCGGGTGATGGGGGCATACCCCGAGGCCCGAACCCTGCATGTCACATTGGGGCATGTAGACGACAATCAACGTTCGAAGCAATTCAGGCCATTTTCGACCCCCTATAACTTCGTACTGGATAATTATTTTATTCTTCTTCTGAGTTGTATGGAAGATATTGCTATGTAGCAATGAGAGTATTTGTTTACTTTTTTGTTATTTCTATATTTTCTTGGTGTACAATAAAGAATATTGTATTGTATTTACGGGTATACCTTGCTACACATTTTCTTTAAATATATCACAGACAAATGTCAAACAAACTAAATATAAAATAATCGAAAACAGCGATAATGCGACAGTATTAAATTTTCAATAATAATATTACAATCCAGCAGTAGTCCGCATAGGTCTCCCCGATAAATAGCATCATAGGGGGGATATTAAATTGGCGCAAGACCAACGGTACGTTTACACCAAAAACCGATTTTGATGGCCGATAGCGTACAGAACTACCCGGACGAGTAACTCGGACGTGTATGTGCTTACACTGCAACAGTGTACCACTTGTGCCGACATTGGACGTTGCCAGTATTTTTTTCTATTTTTATATTTCCAATATCCATAGACGTTTAGGTAGATAACAAAACTGACAGAAACAACAGAATAAAGACAAAATGATTAAATTAAACTACAAATATACTCAATTTACACTGTAGACCCCGGCAGTCGGGTGAGAAATCCCAAAAAAAGGATGGATGTAGATATCTTTGGGTCGCAAATAACAAGTTAATCATTAGATATTAAATACATGAACTTATGAAGAACGGCAGGTTCTTGTAAATGATCTGTTAAGTAGTGGATACGCACAATGTTCTTACTTGTTGTGGGTAATAAGAAAAGTAGTTATGGGTAATAAGTATATATTCAATTATTATTATTTTTCAGAGTTGAAGACTTAAAGTCGATATTAAAAACGAAAGATAAAGACGTTGCTGTGTACAATATACATCAGGAACTTCTGTTTGACTCATGGACGGATATTTTTAATGAATCGGGAATTACGACCGTCAAATCTGATATTTATAGTTTTAGCGGTAAAAATGTACTTATTGATCCTACCTGGTAAGTAGTTTATATTTGCCACACTCAATTTAACTTTACAACTTGTTCATTATAGTTGTTTCGTGAACCTATTATACATGCTGGATATGAAATTGACATAATGATTTTAGCGATAAGTCACATTATTTAAGTCAATTTTTCACTTGAAAACTTTTTTAGTTACGTTGGAAACTTTTGGGATGAGGAAAAATACTGAATCCGCATGAATGTCAAGCTTAGATATACACGTGTGTGTAAGCTAAGAAGTTTTCACTTTTGTAGTGTAGTCCTACGAGTAACAGTTTTTATTTATTTTTTTTTCAGTTTTTTGTGCTCAGTAATTTCATATATTTTAATTCATAACATCAAAGTTCACCGCTGAACATAGGCCTCCGCATAGATTGCCTTATAATGGGGATATTTGTCATAGTTGCCAGGTTTGGCAGGTGAGTTGCCAATAGCAATTTTTTTATTTATATCATGTATATGGTGCCATACGTCCCCTGTTGCAGTTTTCACCTCCTACGACACCCACGAATTTATATGGGAAGGTGAATATTTTTACGCCGCCCCTACTTAGCAAAAAGGATTTATAACCTTAAAGCATATACCTAATAAATGTCCATATTTTAATATTATTTTCTTGATAATTTTAGATCATAATATATTTTAAAATAATTTACATTTTTATTACAGGCCTCAAAAAGCTATATGGCATGGTAGTAACTCATTAGGCGTCCGCTTGACGAATTCGTTTTGTGAGGAATGGCAAAGTGATAGCCCTAAACACTTTGGAACAGCAACGTACATTTTTGACAAAAAGCTGTTTACGCAAGAAAAGTAAGCACGTTTCGATTCTAATAAAAAATGAACAAGTTTCACGTCGTGATATTAAACTCAATTTATTTTTAATATTTTACTGTCGTATTATATGGTAAAATTACTATTTTATTACACCATGAAACGTGAATAGACTACCGAAGAAATTTGAATTTAGCAAAAGCTTTATTTGGAAAGGCTTTTTATAACGAGATAAATGTTAAAAAATAAGGATTATAAAAATAAAACAATTGTTTGTATATTTTGAAACAAAACAAAATAATATTCAATTATATATGTATAATTTACCGTATGCCGCGATGAATTTAATTTGCTGAGCGTACGATCTGTAATTCAGATGTTCACCGCCCATCACACTCACACCTCACACCTTCCCATAGAAAATAAGCGAGATAAAGACAATTTCTTTTACGCTTGGCAAGCAAATTGGCAACCACAGTTTTTTTTTATTATCTGGTTCATTTCACTTTTGCATTTTATGCCACTACAAGGCAATAATATGATGTAGTTATTTCCAATAAATTATTTACAAAGCAAAGTTAAAAAACAAGTAGGTCGAGCAAGTAGATGATTTTGTATATTTGGGATGAGTATTCAGCAGGGCGGGAGATATAATGAGGATAAAGAACGACGAGTGAACGCAGGAAGTAAAGTCAATGGGGTGGTACACTCTATTGTGAAAAGTCAAAATGTGTCAAAAAAAGGCACGTTTTTCATTCAGAATGCTGTGCTAGTCTCTATTTTGACGTATGGTAGTAAGAGTTGGGTGTGTTAGAAGAAGCACGAGAGTAGAATTAATGTAGAGTATGTCAGGGCTAAATCTGAGTGACAGAGTGAGAAATTGTGTGATAAAATAAGAGTGTGGTTTGCAAGATGATGCTATGACCAGGATTAAGGAAGGAATGCTTCGGTGGTTTGGTCATGTAGAAATAATGAATGAGGAAAGAGTGACAAAACAAATTTATGTTGCAGAAGGGAATGGAAGATTCAGAAAGGAACGTCCTAGGCGAAAGTTTATCGACCAAATTGGCGATATATTAAAAATGGGCCAAATTAGGAGGACTCTTGACCGACGAGCATGTATGCGTAGGTATATATATAAATGTGGAGGAGGCGAGAGAGGTGTGTCAGGATCGTACCAAATGGAAGTCTGTAGCCTCTGCCTATCCCTCTGGGTGATAGGCGTGAGTGTCTATGTTATGTTTTTTATGTTATAGTAACAAATTATCCTTAGACTTTCTGTGATGGAGAGATTTTAATTTTAATTTTTAGTCTGGGATAAAAATAAATTTATCTTCTCTATGAGCCACTGCATCTACCCATCATTAGGTTAATCGTATATTTTATATAGGATAAGGGTGACAAACGAGCACAAATTCCACCTGATAGTAAGTGCTAATCTACATCCATCCTCGATTACGTATCAAAATGTAGATACGTTGTCATCCGTGAGGAATAAAATTGGAATGCCTCGTTTCCAGTGAAAAGGGTGTACGGTTCTTTCTACTCACCATACAAAACATAGTAGTGCTAAACTGCTATTTTATGTTGGTATTCTGTGAGCGTGTGTATTCCTTTTTCACCCTTAAGTACATAAGCATGATATGCTTTAGTGTATGTTTGCTTTTTTCGTATTGTAACCTTCAAGAAAAGAGCGTACTCCTTTCTAAAAGGCTGGCAACGCACCTGCAATTCCCCTTTTGTTGCGGTTGATCATGGGCGGCGGTAGTCACTTATAATCAGGTGAGCCGCGGTTTGCCCCCTTTTCTATAAAAAAAATCCGCAATGTTGATAGTCGTCAAACTTAATTTCTTTTTACAGATACACGTGTAACAACAAGTTGATTGTGTTATGTGTTGAAGTAAGGCCTAATATGATAAGAAAACAGAGACATACGTAAGTATAAATGAATATTACAGCTTGCCATTTAGGTTTAATTCGTTTACTCACCCTTAGGCCTTAGGTACACTGGATACTTAGAAACGCGTATTGTTTATCCACCCCACACGGGGTGGATAATCGGTATTCGTATTTTTTTCTTACGGTTTTCTCCCTCGCCTGATTAGTCATTTATAGAAACATGATGGCTATTTTTTAATTTTGTTTTGAATAATAATGACAATATTATGAAGTTTGTGAAATATTATGACAAGACAGGGCTCAAGGATGAAATTTGTGTTTTTTGTAGCATAAGAGTGACAAACGAGCACACAATGCACCTGATGGTAAGTGGATGCTGTGGGCCATAGACATCTACATTGAACCTCAATTAAGAATCAAAATGCATATGCGTTGTCACCTTTGAGGACTAAGATGGAATGCCTCAATTCCAGTTAAACGGGTCTCCGGTTCTCTACACTCACTACATGAAATTATATATACCCAGCATTAAGCTGCTATTTTACGTTGGGATTCTGTGAGAACGTGGTTCTTCCCCGGAGAAGCCGACTCGTTCATACTTCAACCATAATATAGCTGCAGCGTGGCTCTACTACGTATAAATAATATGTCGCTGCTAGGAATTCATTTGGAGTTCTACAAAGTCCTTAGAATCTTGGCATGAAATTATTTCAAATGAAGTTAAAGACAAACATTCAAATTTATCAAATTTTTTGGATTGTTTGCAAGGAACGCCCATTTTTTCGCTACACATCTATTGTAACAAAGAAATTTTGAAATCGATTGAAAATAAACATTAAAAGAGACGAATTAATCAAGGATATACATTTACGTCTACTCAATAATAAAATTAGTATTGATAATTTCTTGGACATATTGCAAAACGTATAAATTACTTATTATTATTTAAAACAAGGAAGTTAAATTCTGTTTAAATGCAATACGTACATAATACGATTTTTGTTTAAATTTGTGGCTGTTAAAAATTAATCAATAATATATTGTAAGTATAAATACATTTTCTGTTGAACTTTACTTGGGCTAAAAAGGCGGAAATACAATGAAAAAGAGAATTTCAATATCCACCCCATCTAGGGTGGATAAGAAAACACGCATTTCCGAGTATCCAGTCTAGGTTAGATTTCTTAGGGTGGATAAACGGAATAACCCTCCATTTACGAAAATGTATGCACTAATTTATATATGTTCTCTCACTTTTGTAAATATATTTACAATGTATATATATATATATATATATACATATGTTAGCAGTGCAATTAAATTCATAAAGCCATTTCGCGCTATAGGTGCTTTTAAGCTGTAAGAAGTACTGTGAAAGAATTACTCATAGCTTTTGATAGATGGCGGTATATAACTCGTTAACTGGGAGCAGCGTCAAAGGCACGTGACATTAAATACTGCGATCGCCAATTTAACCTGCCAAGCGTGGCGATCAAGCCTTGTGGGGGAAGTCCATTCTCACCTTTTGACATTAAATGCCTAATGATAATGATGAAGGGGGCACGAAAATGAGTACGTATATTTAAAACGGCTCGGATTTTTTTTAAATTACGCGAGCGGTTACGTCCGTAATAATGGTATTTATTTGAAATAAAGTTTTAACCCCAAATTATTGCATTTCAGCTCAAGACGGCGAACTCCTTATCCTCGGTTAAATTCTAGATTAGGTGGTTGAAATAATTATGACAACTATTAACTAAGTATTATCGTTTAGTATTAAAAAATGTCTCTAACGAGCGATTTTATCCTCTCAAAATGTCTGACTCGGCCATAAAATGAACGCTTAACCTACTGGTGATATTGTGTTTCGTATGTGCATAGTAAAATTCTCAAATAATCTTATAATTATCATCTTTAACATTACAGCTCATCAAAAGTCTACTGCCGAACATAAGCCTGCCACAATAAATACAATTGGAATCAATAGTCGTAAGTTGTATAAGAATTCTGAAATGAATGATCAAATTGTATTCAGAATAAGTATGACAATAATTTTCTTTATTTATACAGCCACATAAAACAAACACTCACGTCTGTCACCCAGAGGGTTAGGCAGAGACTGCAGACTTCCATTTGGCACGATCTTGATACACCTCTCTCGTCTCGAGCATATCTACATAACAACGCACACATGCTCGTCGGATAAGCGTACTCTTAATTTCGCCCATTTTCAATATATATATATATATATATATATATATATATATATATATATATATATATATATATATATATATATATATATATTGAAATATATATAATAAATAAATATAATAACTTTCGCCTAGGACGTCCCTTTCCAACTCTGCCGTTCCCTTCTGCAAGATAAATTTGCTTTTTATTATAGGATAAGGTGACAAACGAGCACACAGTCCACCAGATGGTAAGTGGTTGCTGTGGTCCATAGACATCTACATTTATCCTCGATTACGAATCAAGATGCAGATGCGTTGTCACCCGTGAGGACTAAGATGGAATGCCTCGTTTCCAGCAAAAAGGATCTCCGGTTCTCTACACTCACCATACGAAACACAGCAGCATTAAGCCACTAATTTACGCTGGTATTCTGTGAGAGCGTGGTACTTCCCCGGTCGAGCCGACCCATTCGTGCTACAACTATATTATTAATATAACTGCAGCAAGGCTCTACAGAAATGCTTTGTCACTCATTCCTCATTCATTCTTTCTACATGGCCAAACCACTAAAACATTCTTTTCTTAATCCTGGTCACAACATCATCTTGCAAACTACCCTCTTCTCTTATCACGTAATTTTTCACCCTTTCACTTTCTGTCACCGTTTCTACTGCGTTTATTATACTCTCGTTCTTCTTCTGTCGAACCCAACTTTCATTACCATACGTCAAAGTAGGGACTGACATACTTGACACATTCTGACTTTCCAAAATAGAGCTTTATGTACATTAATAAAAATAATTCAAAAACCAATACACAGTTAAGATAATAAAAAACAAATATCAACAATGTTATGCGTATTGCTTGTGAATTAAATCTTTAATAAGATATTAAATGGTATGTTACACATTTTTAAAATAATTCCTATTTTCTTAATAAATGTGTAATATACCACAATTTAAATAATATTTAGTATACAATTAAAGTATATTAACAAAATTATTCGTTATATAAATATTAGTGATTCAAATAATTAGGATTTTTAAAACTATAAATATTATTTCATGTATATAATATATTTTTACTAATTCTGGTGCTATTTGTTTTTCGAAAACTGTTTACTATGAGATTAAATTAATATAATTCTAAGTTTATTGTCAAAAATTGTAATCGGTCAAATATAAGTAATAATTTATTTTAAATATTTCTTGTTACTACTTAATAGTACTAATTTTATAATTACTTACAAAATACGAAACATTGTTTAAAAATATAATAGATAAAGGCTGCGTTAGAAATCAACTCCTCAATGTAACATAGTATGTGCCATAAAAAGAATTTTTACTTTTGTAATTTATTTATTAAAAAAATTGAAATACATAAATATATTTCCATTGTTTTCTTTTTGATTACATAATGTACCTTATGTATATTATCTATTGTTGCGCGGCTAAGTTAACATCTGGCAATAGCTCCATCTAGTGTCAGGTAACAGAGCGAAGAGAGAGCTTTCCAGAAAATGACATCACTAATCTTTCAACCGACAGCGCCATCTAGTATCGAATTGAAGAACTAAGCTTTCTGGAAGCCCCAAACTCGAACTTTCTGCGCTTGGTCGGTTGGCACGCGTATTTACTCGAATTTTCTGGAATATTCTGGATGTTTTCGTGGAAGAGCCCTATATAAAGGCGCTGCAATACGCGATCGGGGAAGTATTGAATTTGGCGAGACAAGCGAAGCTTCGGAGCGGAATAAAGTGAATCAGTGTGATTAATTGTTAGTGTTTTAAATTTTAATTGGTGTAAATAAAATCAAAGTGTTAATTTAGGTAATTCTATCGGCAATTTTTACTGTCACTAACCTCAAGCTCGTAACAATTGGTGTCAGAAGTGGGATTAAATCATGCCGATTTTACCTAAGGAGGAAACGGAGGGTATCCGTACCCGAAGTCAACGCCAGCAGGAGACGGACCAAAGAAGATTTGGTGGTGCAACGCCGCAGACGTCGGAGGGCCAGCCGCCGGCTGCAGGCCCGTCAGTAGCTCCTACATCTGCAGCACCTGACTTAGGTGCTCTGATGGTGATGCTGCAGGAGCAGGCTCGCCGACAGGAGGAGCAGGCGCGTTGGTTGAAAGAGCAGCAGGAGGAACAGGCTCGCCGACAGGATGAACAGGCTCGCCGACAGGAGGAACAAGCCCGCCAACAGGAGAAACAGGTCCGTCAGTTGGAAGAGCAGCTGCGGGGCGGACAGGAGGAACAGGCCCGTCGGTTGGAAGAGTAGGGGAAGGGGGGGGGGGGGAAGGAGGAAAGGCCCTCGGTTGGAAGATCAGCAGGCGGAACAGGCTCGTCGGTCGGAAGAGCAGATGCTCCTCATGAAGGACCTTCATGCTGCCTTTGGGAAAGAGATAAGGGAGGTGAAGGATAGGGTTGCCCAACATGACAACCGCCTGTCGGAAGCTGAAACCCGAATCAAGGATGCTAAAACCCAAATCGACCAAGTGAACAATCGGGTTGATTACGTGGTCGCTGACGTGAAGAAAACGCTGGACGACCTCAAACTGGGTGATGGAACTACAGCTCCCGTAGTAGATACTACACCTTCGCTACCTGGGTTCAAAGTGCCACCGTTCGACGGGACTTCTTCCTGGTCAGCCTACAAAATCCAGTTCGAGGCTGTTATGAAGGCGAACGGCTGGAATAAAAGTCAGGCCATGACTGCTCTCACACTAGGCCTGCGCGACCAGGCCTTAACAGTTCTGGAAGCTCTCGGTGAGGAAGTGACTTATGAGCAACTCCTTGAGGCATTGGAGGCGAGATATGGCGACACTCACTTGGAACACTTCTTTCGTGCGCAGCTGAGATCGCGTGCAGCGCATCAACGAAAACCGGCAGCAGTGGGCTCTAGAGGTGGAGAAGCTGGTGCGGAAAGTATACCGGTCTGTACCTGCGCTCATTGAAGGGAACCTGGTGCAGACATTCATCGGCGGCATTCGCGACCTAGAAGTCAGAGCTGCTGTGAGGCTCGGGCACCACGACACGCTTAAGGACGCCTTGGCCCATGCACGGGAGGTGGAAGTCGTGCGGCAGGATCATCGTTCCCATCGCGCCAGGGAGGTTGCAGCAGCTACAGTTCGCGACCGCAACAGAGGATACAGCCCTAGGTACTATGGCTATGGGGAAAGGGGCCATCTTCGATCCAGCCGCCCTAAGCGAAACCTAGAAAGGGAAGGTGAACGATCTCAGAAGGGAAGTGCGGCTAAGATCACCGCCCAACAGCAGCCGGGATACGCGTTTACTATCAGACATCGCAGCGGGAAATCTCATGGCAACGCAGATGCACTGTCAAGAAGCCCTAGTCCTGAAGATTGCAAGCGTTGTACTAGGCAAGAGAGTAAGGAAGTGGTATCCGTGATGATGCTCAGGGCAGACCACCTCAGCAACGAGTGGAAGGACAGCTTACAACGTGCTTAGCAGGAAGATCCGGACATCAAGCCGATTCTGGAATGGATAAAGGCCAGTGCTCCCAAGACCAAGTGGAGTGACGTCTCAGCGATGAGTTCGACCACTAAAAGCTATTGGCCCAGTGGGACAGCTTGCTGCTTCAGGATGGAGTTCTGTGTCGTAAATGGGAAAATGTTCAGGAAGACAGCTGTCATTTGCAAATGGTTGTCCTAAATCTAAAGTACCGGATGTTCTGCAGATTTACCATAATGATTGTTCAGGAGGTCATCTGGGAGTTAAACGAACTCTACTGAAGATCCGAGAACGCTTTTACTGGGTCCACTGTCGAAACGATGTCGAGGACTGGTGTCGCAAATGTACAAGTTGTGCGGCTGTAAAGGGACCTCAGACTCGTTGTAGAGGTGCATTGAAGTTGTAAAATGTTGGTGCACCATGGGAGAGAATAGCCCTTGACGTGCCGGGATCATTTCCGGAGAGTAAAAGCGGTAACAAGTGTTTCATGGTTGTGATGGATTACTTCACTAAGTGGCCAGAAGTCTTCGCCATTCCAAATCAAGAAGCTTCAACAGTTGCGGATAAGCTAGTTCATGAAGTATTCTGTCGTTTTGGAATACTTTTAGAAATTCACAGCGATCAAGGAAAGAATTTTGAGTCTCAAATATTCCAGGAAACTTGCTGAGTTATGGGTACTCACAAAACAAGAACGACTTCTTATCACCCGCAATCTGATGGAATGGTAGAACGATTTAATCAGACATTGGAGAGGTACCTAGCAAAAGTTGTAGACCATCGGCAACGAGATTGGGACAAGCACATACAACCGTTTTTGTTGTCATATCGAAGCGCTGTTCACGAAAGTACAGCAGTGACACCAGCTTTCGCAAACTTTGGAAGAGAATTACGGCTGCCTGCAGACCTGATCACCGGGATACCACCTGATACCCCACGCAGTATAACCGATTATGCAAATGACTTGCGGAACAAAATGAATGACATTTATGAGCACGTCAGACAATCGGGCCAGCAAATGTCTGAGAAGATGAAAACCCAGTACGACCGCAAAATGAACAATAAAGGCTTCGACGAAGGTTCACTAGTGTGGTTGCACAATCCAGTCCGCAGCAAAGGGAAATCTCCTACGCTTCAAGCTAAATGGGACGGCCCGTACCGGATTGTAACCAGGATCAACGATGTAACTTACCGGATACAGAAAGGCGCAAGAGGGACTCCTAAGATCGTCCATGTGGATCGCCTGGTGCGATATTATGGGGCCGATAATGCTCGGGACGAGCATGTCTTAGGAGGGGGCAGTGTTGCGCGGCTAAGTTGACATCTGGCAATAGCGCCATCTAGTGTCGGGTAACAGAGCGAAGAGAGAGCTTACCAGAAAACATCACTAATCTTTCAAACGACAGCGCCAT